TCAGAGATTTGTATTAGCTAACTTTGCCCCAGTTAATAAAACTATACCATTGGAGCTGTTTTTCCAAGCTGCTAAAACCAATCTAGTCCAGAGCCAGAATGGGCATGGCCAGGGCGAAGGGCCCCCTGCAAGGTTACTCGGTGAGGAGGACACACCAGAAGGAGCAGGGTAAGATGTTCCGATGAAGGCAGATAGAGGATAAGCGAGTTTCCTCACCTTCAGTTTAAACAAATCCTTTGAAGTTTCTGCACAGAGTAACACCCATCAGGTCTAGGGGTTCAGACCCTTTGAGACAGAAACTGGTCCAAGTAATTTCTGGCCTCAGCTGGGATGAGCTTGACGGGATTCATTGCATTCGATCATATGAGGAACTTAATAAGATCCAGCATAGACCATCTATATTCTGGGTGAGTTTTTCATTTCTTTTACACTGCAGTGAAGTCTTTATCTTGTGTGAAGTGTAATTGACGACAGCTTTACTTTCAGTCTTCCAAATCAACACCAAAAAGAACAAATTTACATTCTAAAATAGCAGTATGTATTCGACATTTTACATTGACACTATTGATGGCAGAAGTTCAAAACGGAGTAGAAAGAGCCAGACTCTCCATAATTCAACTATAAAAGTTTTTATTTGACTTTACATGACACCAAAACTGAGAATTTGTCTTCCAACTCCCATTTAATCACAAACATCATTGCAAATTGGAACAAATTGCTCTTATTTTGGTGTCTTGATTGCAAACCATAATTTTAGAAAAGCTTATTACTCAAACACATATGTGTTAATGTTTAGGAACACTTTAAGCTGGAATGACTTAATGTACAAGTTGCTTCTGGAAGCTGCCTCATATTTCAGTTTTAGGTCAAAGCCAGGCTAATAGTCAGTAGCATCTTTGCTAAGCCTGACAGCATATGATGAAATAACCTGTGGTTTCTCAAAGAGGGGATTCAGAGTTTAGTTGGGAATTCTCTTAAGATGCCAACACTGATAGGACTTCAGAGTTAAACTAACATATGGAGCAAATTGAGGGGTCTCTTGATTTAATTTTGCTTTCCCTGTCATTACTCATGTGGGGTAGGGATGTTTACATAGGGTGGTAACTGGTGGAAGGAAAAAGGAGGAGCACGGAGCGTGGATGTTTTGTGTTTTTCTATGTTTATTCTTGTGGTTTTCTACGTTTATTTACAATTTCTGATGGCGTTAATGGTCAAATTTGAATCATGTTGGGTTTCAAGCTGAAAAGTTGGAGACAAAATAATTGTGATGATTACACTTTAGAAGGATCTTTAAAACAGATTATTTTACCAAACTCTGAAGGAATATGAATGTTAACTAATTTATTTTACTAATGTTTTGCACTAAAGTTTATTGCTTAAGTTTTCAACAACAGCTTTTTAAAAAAAACTCTTAATTATGTAATTTAAAACATTGTTTTTCATGGAGTTATCTAAAATAATGGGTTTGCATTAGTGAGCAGATTATAATACCTTTGGCAGCAACTTTATCAGCTTTTATACTGTATGCTGAGCTGTTTTTGTGACATCACAAACGGGGAAAATAGAATAGAGCCACCTTTCTCGCCTCTCGTTCTACTTTGAGCCCCTCCCAGATATCTCAGCTTCTCAGCTTATGAGTGCCTGAGTGTGTGTGTGTGTGTGTGGGGGGGGGGGGGCAACTCCACTTTGTTTTCTAACAGTGACAGAGCCCTGAAACAGCTCATTCGAGGGTACTAAATTAGTCGAGAATAAAACTGTTGAGATTGCTTTCTGTGAGAGGGATTTAGTGCAAAGAACTTCATAAACACGTTTGGTATCGACCATAGACCTATTTTAACTTAAGAAGAAGGTCATGATATGTCTTCTATAAACAGTTCTGGTAAAATTTAGATATAAGGATTAAAATGTGCTAAAGAAGAGTGAATTTTTTATTGACTGATTGATTTAACAGTTAAATGTTTGTGGTGGTGTGTGTTCATTTTAGAAGACACTTTAGAAAGACTTAAGAATGTGCTTTTGAATTTAAGCTAAAATGTGTTCACAGTAGCAGTATTTTTGTTTTTGCTGTTGTATGAAGCTAAAACGTGTTTGGTGTGTTACATAGACGTTGTTGCTAGTGGTAGGAACACCTAAAAGGGCTAAGAATGGTAAATAAAGCACGTTACAGTAGAGATGTAATGCAAGCTATTTACTTTTTAACGTACACATCAGTAATAGTTTGTTTTATTAGTTAATAAGGATACACATTTATGCTCCTACAGGCTAATCTAGTCAGTAACAAAGCCTTAAACTTCCAGTTTTATTTTTATTGACTCTGCATAAATAAACTTTAGAGCTCTCTGGACAGCTGACGAGCAGAACTTCTGTTTATTTTGAGTGGACTTTTAAAGCAACTATAGAGCCGTTCCTCTGGAGGCAGCGATGCCTCTGAAGTATCAAACACGAGAGAGTGAAGTAAAGAGAAGTGTTTTCTTTCCTTCTGGTTTGTTTCCCAGTTGCCTTTTGTGAACTGGGGTTTGGCCGCTTCACATATGGTGTGGTGGAAGGGATGGAGAGAGGACCGAGAGGAGGAGAATAAACAACATAAAGTGACTTTTCTTCTGCAGACTTGTCTTAGTTTGAAGATATTCGTTTTCAATGTGTTGTTTCGCCTGCTGCTCTTGATGCTCATTAACCCCTCTAATACTAGTATAGGAAATAATAACCAGAAAATGGTATAGTTTGTTTAAAATTTGAATAATTTATAATAACAATGAGTCACAGCATTTCAATATGTCCTTCACTGAGAAACCATTTTTTGCTTGTATTTTTGAAAATGATCAGTCACTCTGAGTTTTTCATGCAGGCAGAACATGAAAATAGTCTCCTACACCTATCTCCTGCATTAGCTTCTGATAGAAATAAACGATGACACTCTGGGATTAGAAAATCCTGACAGATCTACGGCACACAGTCACTTAACATTCATGGACTCACCCATCATGACTTGCAACGTTGTTGTTGGTTTAAAGTGACAATGTGTAGTTTTTTCCATTAACCTCTGGAGACATCCATCAATTAAATGATGCCCAGTTGTTGAAAATATTTGTAACATATAACCATAAAAACCAGGTTTAAAATACACGGTAGCGCATCTAAGTCTCTGGGAGGCCTCATGTTTCCTTCTACGGGAGCCTGTGAGGACAAAATACATTTACTGATTTGTAACAATCAGTTACAAAACTTTTGTCATTCATAAAATTTGTTGTTTTACACATTTACTACTTCACTCATTGTTGGTGATGAAAGGAAGTTATTTTGGGATTTCTGACCCTAATGGCCATCCGTTGGTAAGGCCTTACTCGAACACAAAAATACCACTTGCTTGCAATGATTTAGGTGTGAACTGCCCTCTATCGCCAGGGAAGATACACATTGTCACTTTAATGCCCAGGAAACAGCAGAGAATGTCTTGACTAGTAGAAGCTAATCATTAGCATTAGCTACTCCACCACACAGCAGAACTGCTCTAGGCTTGTATTATTTGTGTAGATAAAAAAACCAATGTTGCAAAGCAGTCAGTGGTAGAGCCTTGTAGTCAATCAGAGGCTAAATGTAAACATTTCAGAAGAGAAGACTTCCGAATCCTGCCGTTTGAAGCTGCTTTCTCCTCCGTCTGAATTCACCATGCTAAAACAAACGCACTGGAGCTTTTTTTTTCTCAGAGTATGACTTACAAGGCATTCATTCCTAACTGAGACCACTGCAACTGTGTTGTAAATATGAGTGAAGGACCTCTTTAAGATAAATAAAACTGCCACTTGCTACTTGCAGTACTTATATTCTGCCCAAGAGGGTGTATTAGGATTTGATTTAGCAGGTTTTAAAGGAAAGTACTAATCCTGGTAATAATTTATGGCTCCTAAACACAAGTAGTTGGATCAGATATGATGCTTTTTGACATCATGGGATTAAAACATAATTGCTCCTTGCAAAGTGATTTTATTAACATTTACTCACTGATATTGTTCACAGAGCTTCTGATTAAACTATTGAAAACCATACGTTTATGTATGAATAGATTAATAACACCACCATTGCTTTGCTAATAGGGGATCTTTAAAGATTCTGATTACTGTTGGCATGTTTGTCCTGCAGTCAAAGTCTAGCAGTTGCTGCTCTAACACGAGAATATCTGGCAAACACTTTTCAGGAACAATAAAAGTGTCAGTGATCAAATTTATGACCATATTAGGCAACAATCCTTTAGCAAAATGCACCCTGCGCGTCGTCATTTTTCCTGGTTTTAATCATGATTTGTATTTGAGAGCTTCGTGTTTAATTCTCACTTGGCCCCCAGATTGCTTGTAAATTATTTCTCCTCTCAATTTGTTAATGCGTAACACCACTCACCCTCCTGTAGCGCTCTGCTATGGGCTGAAGCCTCCTCTCATAACTCACAGATCCTCTGGTGGCTCTGGGTCAGGAGGAGCTAGCTCGTTGCTGGTGGAGGCCCACGTGGGATGGGAAGTGAAGAGGAACCAAAACTCAATAAACACGGCTCTGAGGGTGGGGAGCGAGTTCAAGGGTGCGCTTGTCATGATGGAGGCTACAGTGAGCGCTCCAGTGGCTGCTGGGGTTTTGATGGTGTAATGTGAAACGGCTGGAGGAGACGGGGCTACAGTCTCCCTCTTTGTCTGCTCTCCACCCCAGCGTCACCCCTCTCTGCTCTCCTCAGCAGACCCTCTCAGGGGCCAGACTCATCACCCCCATCTGTCTGTGTCCCCACCTCTACCACCCATCGGGATATCTTGATGACTCATTTTAACTCGTAACCAGTCTGGTTTCACCAAATATTTTCCTGTTTTCTGAGAATCTGTTCTTCATTTCATCCAAACAAACCATTCCATCAGTCATGTTTTAGTTGTTTGTTACATTTTATTTCCTTAAAACAACCCTGTATCACTACAAGAACATATGACTGCCTCTAATTCACCTAAATGTCCCTCCTCTCTCCCCAGTCTCCGGTGGTTTCTGTTGGTTTTGCCAAGTTTCATCCCAACCTGGTTGTCGGAGGGACCTATTCAGGACAGATCGTCCTGTGGGACAACCGTAGTCACCGTCGGACCCCTGTCCAAAGGACTCCCCTGTCCGCTGCAGCACACACTGTAAGGGTAGTTCTCAATGTTAATATAATAAGCAGTTAGTGATGCGAAAAACACAGACTTCAGTTTCATTCAGATCTGTGACAGTGTGTGATGTAAGGGACCTGGCAGAAAGCAAAACAACAGTTAGTCAGAATCTGCAGCAAGTCAAATATACAAAACAGCAAAAACAATCACTTTAAAACGAAAATTATGTTGTTTTTTTTAATTTTCAACATTTCAGGAAAATAAATATATCAACAGAAAGAATCATTACTTCCAATACCTCTTCTTTTGTTTTCTGGAGTGTTTCCCATGTGTTGTAAGGGAGGGGGGCATTAGGCTTGGTTTTTGTGTGCAAATTAAAAAGCGTCTTTCCACCATGCACTTGCTTGTTTGCTGCCCACAGAGCCACACCAAGGCATAGACTAACTCTTGGTGGCACACATGGCTGCAGAGCCCCCTCAAAATCCCCTGAAAGGTCTCACAAGACGAGTTACCCAACAGTCATTGACCTTTTTAAATAAAATATTTGTGGTAAAGACAGAATGCAGATATAAAGTAGGTGATAATGGTGATGTGGTGAGTTCGATGGGGTGCCATTTTTAAAGTTGAAGTCAAAATTCAACAGCAATATTTTGGGTCATGAGAGAAAAAAAGATGGGAGTTTTTCAAAGGGATATTTTCACCATGTCATTGATACATTTATAAATGTTAAATTTCCTAACTAAATATTTCGTTAGCAAGCTAATAATTATTAAATAAACTAAATATTTACTTTATGAACTAAATATTTAGCTCCAAAATAAATATTTAGCAGGGATTTAAATATTTGGTTTGGAAAATAAATATTTCATTTGAAGCTAAATATTTAGTCTGTAAAATGAATATTTAACCCTAAATTAAATAGTTAGCTTTCTAACAAAAATATTTATTTAGGAAATTTTACATATACAAATGTATGCATGGCATGGTGAAAATATGACTTTGACAAATTTATACCCATTTTTTTCTCTTATGATGGGCTAAACAGCCCAAAATATTGCTGCTAAATTATGACTGTTTGTCTTTGCAAATGGCACCCCATAGGGTACAGCTGAAGGAAGAACCCAGGATTGGTCTGGCTCTACTTGCCTACCAAACGCAGCTTAACAACAGTTGTGAAAAATGTGTCTGATAGACGCAATAAATAGAGTATGAACTGTAAACCACCATAGCTAATATAAAAACCTTCCCACAAAGTAAAAGCATGTGTGCTAAAGAAGACGTGACTACACCAGCGCACGTCCTCTGGATGAGAGACGACACACTTCAGAGAAAACTACAAGGAAACCTCAGCTCGACTCCGGGGGAACTCACTGACCCCTAACAAATTATCAATAAATATACACTGGTAACATCTTAGGACCTGCAGCTACAGAAGCTACGTCGCTACACCCATGATGTAGGTTTAAAGTAGCTGTGAACTCAAATAATGGGGCCGCCGCTCTTGTCCTCTCCAGTTAGAGTGCTGCTTGCTAGCATGGTGCTGATTGCTGAATGGACTCTTTGTGCAGCGCAGCAGACAAATCCATTACTGCCCAGTAATGATATAATGGCTTCACACACTTGTGGACTTGAACAGCAGCACATGGCCTCGGCTCAGAGGGGTTTAAAGGGACGACTGCACACTGGCATGCAGGCTGCCTGTGAGCCCGCTGCACTCTTGGTTTTCTCCTCATGGTCGTCAAAGTTTCTCATGATGTCACGAGTTTCAGGGTGGAATTATATTATGATTGTAGCACGTTTTAACTGCAGTAAAGGTATTGATGTCAACGCTGAAACAGTTTAAACCTGAATATGTGTTTTTCAGAAATACTTTTGTATTTGCTGCCAGAGGTGAATGTGTAGAACCTCTGTTCAGCTGTGGAACAAGGACCTATAATATACACCAGTTTTGATGTATCCATCCATCCATTAATTTGTTCCATCCATCCATCCATCCATCCATCCATCCATTAATTTGTTCCATCTATCTATCCATCCATCCATCCATCCATCCATTCTTTCATTTATACATCCATCCATTTGTTGATCCATCCATCCATCCATTAATTTGTTCCATCCATCCGTCCATCCATCCATCCATCCATTCTTTCATTTATACATCCATCCATTTGTTGATCCATCCACCCATCCATCAATCCATCCATCCGTTAATTCATTCCATCTATCCATCCATCTATCCGTTAATTCATTCCATCCATCCATCCATCCATCCATCCATCCATCCATCCATCCATCCATTCATTCATTCATTCATTCTTTCATTTATACATACATCCATTTATTGATCCATCCATCCATCTTATCGATTCATCCACCCATCCATCCATCCATCCATTAATTTGTTCCATCTATCTATCCATCCATCCATCCATCCATCCATCCATCCATCCATTCATTCTTTCATTTATACATCCATCCATTTGTTGATCCATCCATCCATCCATTAATTTGTTCCATCCATCTGTCCATCCATCCATCCATCCATTCTTTCATTTATACATCCATCCATTTGTTGATCCATCCACCCATCCATCAATCCATCCATCCGTTAATTCATTCCATCTATCCATCCATCTATCCGTTAATTCATTCCATCCATCCATCCATCCATCCATCCATCCATCCATCCATCCATCCATCCATCCATCCATCCATTCATTCATCCATCCATCCATTCATTCATTCATTCATTCATTCTTTCATTTATACATACATCCATTTATTGATCCATCCATCCATCTTATCGATTCATCCACCCATCCATCCATCCATCCATTAATTAGTTCATCTATCCGTCCATACATTCATTCTTACATTTATACATTCATCCATTTATCGACCCATCCATTCATCTATCTATCGATTCATTTATCCATCCATCCATCCGTTTATCCATTCATCCAAACATCCATCCGTTTATTTTTCTCCGCTTACTCTGAGTCGATTTACGGGGGCAGCAGTCTAAGCAGAGAGGCCTAGACCCCTCCCCAGCTACTTGGGCCAGCTCCTCCGGGAATCCTGAAGTGTTCCCTGGCCACCTGAGAAACATCGTCTCTCCAACATGTCCTGGATCTCCCTTTAGGTCTCCTCCCAGTTGGACATGACCGGAAAACCTCACCAAGGAAGCGTCCAGGAAGCATCCTGATCAGATGCCTGAGCCACCTCAACTAGCTCCTCTCGATGTGGAGGAGCAGCGGGTCTACTCCGAGCCCCTCCTGGATGGCTGAGCTTTTCACACTATCCCATAGATCTCTTAACCACAACAGACTGGTCCAACCACTTGCATCGCTGCAGAAGCAGCACCGATCTGCCTAGCGATCTCAATCTTTCCCTATTTGATGAACAAAACCCAGAGATACTTAAACGCCATTTTTGATGCACTTGTGGTTTATTTTTACCATTGTTCAGAAGGTCTTCATTATGCTTGTGTTCTTCTGTTTCTTTCCCCGTGTGTGTGCATGCGTGCGTGCGTGTGTGTGTGTGTGTGTCTGTGTAGCACCCAGTGTACTCCGTGAACGTGGTTGGTACCCAGAATGCCAACAACCTGATCACTGTATCTACAGATGGCAGGATGTGCTCGTGGAGTCTGGACATGCTCTCTCAGCCTCAGGTACACCAAACGGTACCTGTGTCATACAACCTGTCACGAGAAGTACCCTTCAGGACCGCTGGAGCTCTTTTGAAATCAGAAAAACATGTAATAGCAATAATATCATTAGGATGACAATTCCATTACAATGAAATCCACATTCTTCACATTCCAGGGCAGCGGTCCAAAATGTGTTGGGATGTGGAGTTTAAATTGATGACTTCTGAAATATAATAGTCTTGTCAGGTTCTGGGGCATTGGACCCAAGGACTCAGCCAGCACACAGAATGGAGCTAATAAGTTCTAGTCATCAGGAAAAACAGGAATGCTAACAGAAGTGGCTTGGATTACTTGACTGAATTCAACCAGCAGATCTGACTTGACTAAAGCTTGACTTGTTTTGAATGAACTGCAGCAGGCTGCAGCTGGTCTGCATGAAGCTTGTGGATGATCTGGCTGCAGGGAGCCTTAATATGGAGCTCAGGATCAGCCAACACTTCATATCAGGAGTAATAACTGGTGCGACGCTGTGACATTTCTGTTTTCTACGTTTTAACAAAGGTGTAATTGTTATGAATTAACTGTTGTTTTAAGCTATGGCATATTTAGACTCGATCTTGATCCAGGGTGAAGTTGTTACCATGGCAACTGTTACTGTCAGTTCATATGTGATATAATGTAAAAGCCCCTCAGGGAGTTGAATGGTTGTCAACATTAGCAGCTCAGCTAAGGACAAAGGCATTCTGATGGAGAAGGGGTCCATGTCAAGTGTGTTAAATATGCTCAGAGACAGTTGGAGTCACTCGATTTTAAACAACAGGATCCAAATCACTCTGATGACCATGTGGTGATTTTATTTGGGTAAATTCACATATTTGACACAAAGACACAGTGCACCTTATTAGCCTTTACCTGCTGAAGGTTGTTGGTGTTTGGTGCCATTTCCTTCAGTTGTAAGCACGTTAATGACATTTTAATATCAAATTTCCATTACGGTTAAAACAACTTAAAACTTGCAGCGTGGGGCAGGGATAGGGTGACCAGATGTCTCGCATGTTCATTTATTTTCAAACGCCTCGCAAATTGAGACACTGTCCTGCATTATTGACAGTCTCCCGTTACGAGTTTATAATAATAATAATAATAATAATAATGCATTTAATTTGAAGCGCCTTTCAGGACTCTCAAGGACGCTGTACAGATAAAAATTGACAAATATAGAAACAACAAAGAAAGCTTCGATTATATTTGTTCATATACTGAATCCTGTTTGAGACAGGGCAAAATTAGAAATAAATCAATGCATTCATTTTGTGTGTGTGTGTGTGTGTGTGTGTGTGTGTGTGTGTGTGTAGGAAACCATGGAGCTGGTGTATAATAAATCCAAACCCGTGGCAGTGACAGGCATGGCCTTCCCCACTGGCGACGTGAACAACTACGTGGTGGGGAGTGAGGAGGGCACCGTGTACACGGCGTCCAGACATGGCAGGTTGGTGGCTTTTTGTTGTGTTTTGATAGAAAACTAAAAAACATCACTTAAAAAGTTCCTTTAAAGTTCCAGAGTCAAACTTGTGTTGTTCTCCAGTAAAGCAGGCATCTGTGAGATGTTCGAGGGCCACCAGGGGCCAGTTACTGGCATCAGCTGCCACGGTGCGGTCGGCACCGTAGACTTCTCTCATCTCTTCATCACATCCTCGTTTGACTGGACCGTCAAACTCTGGAGCACCAAGGTACGCGGTGTATGTGTGTGTGTGTGTGTGTGTGTGTGTGTGTGTGTGTGTGTTCCTGAGGAAGAGAGGGAACAGATGTGTGGGGGGTTGATTGTGGCCTCAGAAAGGTTACAAAGAGAGAACCCCTGAGAGAAGGAAGGAAGGGAGTCGAGTACTTTAGATGAGTAACTAGTTCAAAATCAGTCCTTCTCTCAGTGTGTGTGCGTTTGTGTGTGTGTGTGTGTGTGTGTGTTGGAGTAAGCTCAGTAAAATATGTTACTGCATGTCAACGCTGGTGTGTTGTGATTGGAGCTGGAGCTCCATCCTCCACCCTCTCAGATGTCTTGCTGAACGATTCCAAGTTGCGCCAAGAAACCTCTGCCTCAGAAATTGTTTCTGAATATTTGGAGAGAAAACCCATGAATTCCTACTGATTGAATGAATCATATTGCTTGTCAGCTCATCTGAAGGTGGATGATAATGCTAACTGAATAGTTTGGTTTTCGGAGTTTTAAATGTATTTAGGTTAAGGAGACCCGTGTTTTCAGTACAACATTGAAGTGTAGTAGAATTAGGTAAGTAGATCTGTCCGTGCTGCAGGTGAGTGGAGATCTTTAGGATGGAGGCAGCTCTTCTGTAGATGCAGTGGTTGTAAATGATCTGCAAAGAAGGCAATGGAGTGCTGCTGACTTTTCAGTGGTCTTTACCACTCTGTCGGTATTTGTTGTCCACAGCAGTGTAATTGGGTTAGCCTTAGACTGGCTGAAAGGATGCAGCGAGTCAAGATGCTCTCACTAACTCAGCTGTAGAAGCTGCAACAGGATCTAATCAGTCCCTTTAACCAGCTGGATGGTGTTAGATCTCCTAGCTAAGTGAACTCCCAGGGACTTAAAGCTGCTCCTTAAGCGTTAAGTCTTTACAAACAGGAAGAAATATTAAATAACTGACTTCAAAATGACCAAATATCCCTTTAAACCAGTAATCAGAGCAGAGTTTTCTCCTTTCAGGAAATATGTATACATTTTTAGAAATCCATTAAAGAATCCATAAAAATTCCTGCACTGTAATATAATGTATACAATAAGGCCCTGTCCACACGTAGCCGGGGATCTGCCAAAACGTAGATATTTTTCTACGTTTTGGCCTGTCGTCCACACGAAAACGGAGTTTTTTCACACGAAAACGGATCTTTTTAAAAACTCCGGCCAAAGTGAAGATCTGCGTTTTCTCCGTTTTGGGTGTCTGCGTGTGGACGGACAAAACCGGAGTTTTAAGGTCCGCAACGTCACTTTCTGCGACAAAAACTGCTGACATCACGTGTGCGACCTGTGTTTACACTAGCCGACAGCATGGATGCCCTCAGAGCTGCGCTCGCTTTATCAATTGTCCAAGTGCTTTTTGCTTGTTTGTTTTTGCAAGCGGAATTACTGCTCCTTGCGGAAGACCACAGACGAAGGACGAGGTTAAGAACGGGGGAAGTACTGCCGCCTACAGGTCTGGCATGTCCTTAACAACGTATTTATCCGGGTACGTGTGGACAGTTTTTTTTTTAAACGAGGTGGTGTGGATGCAAGTTTTTGGAGGGGCGGATATTCGTTTAAAAAAAAACCCGGCTACGTGTGGACTAGGCCTCAGTCACATTTTCTGCTAGGTTTGTCCCACGTCCTATAGAGCCTCATGCAATCGCCCTAGACATTTGACTACTTAGAGGTCTCGGTGACAAAGCGAGATTAGCATTTGAGACTGGTGCTGAGTTGGCGGTACTTTTCACAGACAAGTTAATTTCAAAAAAGAATATATACTTTATTCCGGGCCTTTAAGGTCCATAATAGGAAGAATAACACAATGAACAGTAAAAATTGATACATTCGTAAAGAATAAAGATTAGAGCATTAAAAAAACTGTTTAAAAAATTGCAAGAAAATAAAAACACATTAAGAACAATAAAGCAAGTTAATACAATAAAATTACAACCAATAGCAATACAAACCGACAAGATCAGTCAGACATACAGGCAACAACGCCAGTGATTCCAAAGGTTAGAGTAGAAACGAGTCATGCTTCGTGTCGTTGTGGGCAAGATAGAGATTATACCATTTCCAGAGACCATCAGCCGACACATACATCTGTACATTAGATCGCGAAGGGTAGCAGTACAAGTGGGAATACCAGCGTACATGAATAACTGGCTGGCACTGCTCCAGCGAGGTACCTTCAGCAGCAGCCTCAACCCGTCATTGTACGCCACCTGAAGTTTGTACAGACTTCTTCTCCTGTAGTTCCTCCACAGGTATGCAGTGTACATGGGCGTACAAAATGCTTTGAAAAGTGTCAGCTTGACAGAAATAGGAGACCTAGAAAATTTCCGAATGAGCATATTAGCTTGTGCATACTGCAAACAGCACTGTCTATAAATGTCTCTATCATCCAACAGGTCAGTAGAGATGTAGTGCCCCAGATATTTAACTTCATGCCGGATCTGAATAATATTGTCAGGTGGAACTCTGGGAAAATTAGTTTACCATCCTCTTTAGTCCTCACAATCATGATGGTACTTTTCATTGCATTGAATTTCATGTCAAAGTCATGACCATATTGTGAGCAAATCCTTAACAATAGAGCAGCACTGCATGGACAAAAGATTACCAGATCATCTGCATATATCAAATGATTCAAAACAACATTCCCAACCTGGCAGCCAGTCCTGCATTCACTCAGCAGCCTGGACAGGTCATCCATGTACACATTAAAAAGACAAGGAGACAGAAGACTGCCTTGTCGTACACCATTACAAACAGTAAAAGGAAGGGACACTGAATTCACCCATTTGACAACCATGATATCACCAGATATTTAGGTACATTCCTGTCGAGCAGTTTTAATAACAACTTTTCGTGATTAACAATATCCAATGCTTTAGAAGCATCAATGGAACATGTAAATATGGTCGTGTTGTGCCTGCTGTACAGATCCAGAATTTCCTTTATGGCAAAACTACACGTCTGTACCTAAATTCAATTTAAATCCAAATTGATGATCTGATGTAAAAACAAACTCCTCTAGTCTCGTCAAAATTGGCCCTTCCAGGGCCTTAGACAGCGTACTGGCCAAAGCAATGGGTCGGTAGTTATCTTTACTGTTTATTCTGCCTGTTTTATTCTTTATAATAGGTACCAAGACAACTGACAGCATAGACTGTGGTAAAACACCGTGAATTAAAAACACTGTAAAACAAATGGCCAACAGCAAGTAAAGTTTCCTGCTCGCAAACTTTAAATGATCTGCTGATATCTTATCATGTCCCCGTGACTTATTATCCTTCACCTTCATCACAATGTCATGGACTTCTTGCACTGTAATAGATACATCCTTGTTGTTGTCTACCTTATCAATTTCAGGGGGATTACTCCTGACACAATTAAACAAATCATAATAACGCTTATGCCTTAATTGACTAATTTCCTCAGAACCAAAATTCCCATCAACATTTGATGGTAGGGCTGTCCTACAAGTATTAATCCTTCTAATTTCTCTCCAAAATTCTATAGGACTGTGGTTTTGTAGTTTGTTTGCTAATGAAGAATTTCTAAGCATATCGTCATTCCTTTTTATGTAACGCAGAGCACGTTTTACCTTTGCACTAGTGTATTTTTTATATTCAAAGACTGGGCCCCTTTTTGGTTTCCCTCAGTCAGCCCACTGTCTATATGCCCTTCTGGCTTCTGCATAGAGCTCTTCTACATGATCAGTCCAACCAGGCTTAGCTTTTTGCTGACTATTTTTACGAAGTGGCCTATTCGAGGTAACCAGAGAGTCTACAATTTCCTCATAGAGGAGGCACAGCTCTCCACCATGCTGCACATTTCTACAGTTCATGTCCCCACATGTTATTGTACCCTTAGGGAGTTTAAGATTACCTAGAAGGACATCCGACCGGCTACCATACTTATGGAAATTCTGCTCAGTTAAACTGTCCCAATGTATTTTCCCATCTTGAGAGTCATTTATAATAGGCAAAAGGGTTGGTAAATTACCTACATTTATCGATACACAGAAGGGAATTCGATCTTCTTACTGTTTTTATTCCGTTTTAGTAGCCATTAGCACTGTGCATTGTTGTGTGCGTCAGTGATATTCAGTCTACGAGGAAATCGTGCAATGACAAAGGTTCCGCCGTGCTTGAAATGCAAGCTGCGTTTAAATGCGTTGATTTTTTTAACGCGTTATTTTTTTCTAATTAATTAATCGTAATTAACACGTTAAAATCCTGGCCCTAATATATATATATATATATATATATATATATATATATATATATAAATATATATATATATATATATATATATATATATACACATACATACATACATACATAAAAGGCGGTTATTACCCCACTGTTGAAGAGATCGGGGTTAGATGGTATGCAGCCTTGCAACTACCGGCCGATTGCAAAGCTCTCTTTTCTGAGTAAAATTCTGGAAAAATGTGTCTATACTCAGTTAATGGATTTTCTAGAAGAGTCTAACATTAAGGAAACTTTTCAGTCTGGCTTTAAAGCTTTTCATAGTACGGAAACGGCACTGATAAAGGTATTAAATGACATTATGTTGGAAACTGATAGGGGAAATCCTGTGCTACTTGTTTTGTTGGACCTTACAGCTGCGTTTGACACTGTGGACCACGAAGTGTTGCTCCATCGTTTGGAGTATAATGTCGGAATCTCTGGTCTGGCCTTAGACTGGTTCAGATCTTATTTGAAGGATAGGACTGTAAGTGTAAGGATGGGTGGGTTTAGTTCTGGATTCACACACCTGCAGTGGGGGGTCCCACAGGGTTCAATATTAGGAACGCTATTGTTTTTGATTTACATATTGCCACTGGGGGACATCATGAGGAAGTATGGAATTCGATTTCATATGTATGCTGACGATTGCCAACTTTACTTACCCTTGGATTATAGAGGCGACTGTCCCATTATTACCTTAATGCACCGTCTAACTGAAGATAAGTCATGGTTGACA